GAGGCTGAATGGGAGAGAGCAAGAGAAATTTGTAAATGTTTGAAATTTTTTTATGATGCTACAAATGTTTTTTCGGGGTCCAAGTATCCAACTTCTAATCTCTATTTCCTTGAAGTGTACGAGATTCTTTTGTGTTTAAAAGGATGGTGTTTGAGCCCTATAGAGTATATTAGTTCTATGCCACCAAAATGAAAAAGAAGTTTGACAAATATTGGAGGATATGTAATTTAACATTGGCGATTGCATGTGTTGTGGATACTTGGTACAAACTTAAATTGATTAATTTCTACTATGGCAAAATATATGGTGATGAGGCGACACAAGCAATTATGATGGTTCGAGAAGGTGTTTATGGCCTATTTAAGGAATATTAATCAAAGGAATCATCTAGTTCCAATATTTGAAGTAGTGCAGTTGGAGTACAATATTCTTCCCACACTGTCAATAAATCTCACAAAGAGAGAAAGATGCAATGTAAAATATACATTCAAGAAGATTCCACGTCTATTCTAAGACGAATAGAATTGGACATATATATGGACGAACCTGTCTATCCAGAGGATATAGAAGATTTCAATATCTTAATTTGGTAGCGAGGCAATGCATCAAGGTTCTCCGTTCTCTAAAGAATGGTTAGAGATATTTTGGTGATTTCTGTATCCACAATAGCATTTTAGTCAACGTTTAGTACTGGGGGACGAGTTTTAGACCAGTATCGCAGTTCCTTGACTCCATCAACCGTGCAAGCATTGATGTGTACGCAAAATTGGTTGCAGAATGATAAAAAGGTAAAACAATTTCAATTTCCAAATTGTTGTTGGTTGATTATTTTCCATATTTGTTGTTTAAACCCTTAAGATTTCTCATTCTATTTGTGTTTCAATCTTAAGGGGTGCATGTGCGTCATCTAGTTCCTATGATGTATGTTTAGAGAAAACTCCTTGGCTCGAATTACTAACACATTCATAATAGAAATACATAAGAAGAACAAACAAATTCACATCAGATTGTTTAACACATAACACATTCACAACTAATTGTTTAAGTACAAATGAACGAACTAAAATTATCCAAGAATAAACACCATAAGAATAATAAACATATTCATTTTGTAGCTTACATTGTAAGCATAAAACAAGCATTCCATTATTTCCCACAAATAAGCATTCCATGCTTGAATTATGAGATACCCAATACCAAGTAATGTCCTGGACTGATGCAAAAGACCGAAAAACAGTAACCCAATTACTATATAGAGAGACAAAGCATATCCAAAATTAAAAATTCAAAATATAATGCAATTAAACAAAAAAAAATAGCCGAAAAGGAGAAACAATACACAGAAAATGGAGTAAAGCTTCTTAATGCAACAAAAAATTAGCATCAAAGAACTCAACAACAAATAAAAAAAGAATCAGCAGAAATACACTCTCTCTCTTAACACAAACCATTGTTAAAAAAAATGCCGCTCAACGCTTAGGCGGTTCAGAAGCCCAGGCCTAGGCGGCCAAACTGGGCGGTGGTCTCTAGGCGGTACGAAACCCGCCTAGGCGGCCGCCCAGCGCCCAGCCTTGGGCGGCTGCTTAGGGCTTGCGCCCCGCCCAGAGGTGGAAATGTTTTTTTTTGTTTTTTGTTTTGATTTTTTTTTTAAGTTATAGAAAAGGTTAAAAGGAGGGGATTTAGGTTCATTTGAAACCTAAACCCACAAGAACCCCTTTTAGAGGGAAAGAAACATCCAAAAACTACATTTCATTAGATCGAAGTGTCTCAAAGTTCGGAGTTCGAGCAATCAAAGTAAGTGCAAAACTTTATTTTTAGATTGATTGTTTTATTTTGAGATGTCTTCTTCAGGAGTTAGTCGGAGTGGAGATCCGGGTTGGAAATATGGATACAACCTGAATCTAAATGACAAAAATTGTGTTAGATGCAATTTTTTTGAAAGAGATACAAAAGGATACATAAACCTGTTTAAGAAACATCTTGCTCGTATTAAGGGGGATGTTGCCCCTTGTAAAAATGTTCTTGAAGCTATTAGAGAGGAGATTAAGCAATATATGAAACATCTTACCGGTATTAAGGGGGATATTGCCCCTTGTAAAAATGTTCTTGAAGCTATTAGAGAGGAGATTAAGTAATATATGAGTTCTGGAAATAAAAACATGAACAAAATCCTTGTCATAGATCTATTTCTGCTGCTTTTAGAAGAAGTGATCCAGGTTGGAAGTATGGGTACAACCCAAAACCAAATGATAAAAATTGTATAAGGTGTAATTTTTGTGAAAAAGTTACCAATGGGTGTAATAGCCGATTCAAAAAACACCTTGCAGTTAGATGTAATGATGCTTCTTGTACAAAGGTTCCTGAAGCAGTTTGGGATGAGATTAAACATCTTCTGAATTTAGAAGAACCAGAAAATGTTGAAAATAAGCCTTGTTCTATTGAAGTATCTTCTCAAGGTTCTAGTCGGAGTGGTGATCCGCGTTAGAAGCATGGTTATAACCCGAATCTAAGTGATAAAAATCATATTAAATGTAATTATTGTGGAAATGATACTAATGGGGGCATTTGCCGGTTTAAAAAGCTCCTTGCCGGTATTAAGGGGGATGTTGCCCCGTGTGAAAATGTTTCTGAGGTTACCAGGGAGGACTTTATACAATATTTGCGTTCAGAGAAGCACAAAGAAAAGGGTAGAGCAGCCAAGACTCCTAGGGCCTCATCTGCACAGACTGCACATACTTGTAGAGGAAGGTAGAAGAAGATGAGGAGGAAGGGGAAGATTCAGAAGAAACAGAGGAGGATGAGCGTTATATTGAGAAGGAGATGACTTTGATGATGATGGCCTCGACTCTAATGTATATGATCAGGCTTGTCCTATTGGTATTCCTTCTGATGATGATGACGACTGACGACTCTTGCCTCTTGGTTCTGAGTCTCTTGGTTCTGAGTGTTGAGTGTTGACTGTTGTGTTGAGTCATGAGTGTTGACTGTTGTGTTGAGTCATGAGTGTTGACTTTTGTTAGACTGTATATTTTCTAAATTTTTGTATATTTTTGTTGTGTTTGAGTGTTGACTTTTATATCTTACACTTGTATGGCTTTACAGTTTACTGTTTTAACAATATGGATTATCAAAATTCTCTTCTCGACATCTATCTTTTTTTATTTTTCAACTTGGAATATGGTATTTGGTAATTTGGTATTTTTTTCTACTAGGCATCTGCCCAAGTTCTGGTTGCCTGCCTAGGCGCTAGGCGGCCTGCCCGCCTAGCGCTTTTTGATACACTGACACAAACACACATTTAACAGTTGCATAAGGGACTACAAATAAAGATTTACGAATTTTCCAAAGAAAGAGATATTCTAACACACAATGTCAAGGAAAAGCAGACGAATTTTCCTAAGAAAAGAGATACTAATTTAGAAAAATAAGAATGGAAAAAAAAGTTAGAGAGAAAAAAAATTAAGGGCTCTTAAGATTACAAAAGAGAATGGTGTAAATCAAAGCAGATAAGGGCACATACCTTGAGAAGCTTTGGGCCCTGTGTTCTCGAACGATTCTTCGTTATAGAATGACAGAAAATCTTGAGTGGGTTTTGCACCAGCAAATACCTTGCGTCCCCTTTGAGATTCACATGAGAGAGAGAGAGAGATTAGAGAAAACAGGGAGAGGGAGATTAGAGAAAAAAAGGGAGAGATAGAGAACACATTGAGAAATAGAGAGAGCACATATTTTGATTCGAAATAGAAAGAGAGATATTAGAGAAAAAACATTTAACGAAGAGATTTGAGAAAACAGGGACAGAGAGAGATTGAGAGAGAGAGAGAAAGAAAGTAACCCAGAGAGTGAGAGAGCTCTTATCAGTTACCGGCGGTAGTGAGACCAGCAGAGAGACCGTTGACCGCCACAGGAGATGTAGAGGCAGGGGCGGCATGGCAGTCCACTTAGGGTTTGGGGGAAAATAAAGAAATCGATATAGGTTTTAGGGTTTTCGATTTTGTTATAAATATATTATATATAATTTACGTTATAATTTGTATTAACATAAATTAAACGGGTTCGGGGTGGGTTCAGCCATACCCGTACCCGCATCCGAAAATTTCATGTATATATTTTTGGACCTGGACCTGTCCCCGTGGGTCCAAATTTGGACCCATACCCGGTCCAGTTGGGGTATACCCGCCGGGTCCTGGGTCGGGTACAATTCCATTGCCAACCCTACTTAGGGGTCACTTGTGACCTCTACCCTCTCTTTTAACATTAATAACCCTAATTACAATTTATGGATAATATGGCCCTTATTTTGAGACATAAGAATAAGGACTAAACAAAAGTTAAATGACAGTTCTATCCGTCAAATAAAATAAAGCTTATTCCTTTTAGTTCCAACACAAATTGCTTGAGCATTATTGCACCTAGGAAAAGTTTAGCTCAAGTTGTAGGTTGGATGAGATAAAACCTGTGGCAGTTTCAATTATATTGATATTCATACTTAGTGTGACTAAAAGCCTAAACAAGTCAAAATATTGAAAAGCCACCCAAAGTGTGTTTTTTTAAAGAATAAACCTAGAATATCAAGGATCTATTTTGAATATAACAGTTATTTTTGGGTAGTTGGTTAAGCATTGAACGCAATTCATGTAACATCAGATTTTTATCCTAACAATCTACTGAAGTTTTAAGTTGTCTAGCCTCCTAAAATATGATTTCTTTGATCAAGAATCCATAGTTTCTCATAAGGTTTTGACCTAGAATTTGTTTTATCTTTGCTGTTTTGCATAAACTAGGATTTAAACTGTGTTTCTGGAGGAAGTGGTAGCATTGGTGGCTTTGGACATGCTGTGCTGATGATTTTCTCTAAAAATTAGTTACTTTGCATTTAAAATTTTCTTTGCTTCGCATCATATTGTAGAAACTATTGATCAAGTTATCCGCATGGTTTTCTTGAGTTTTTTGAAGATAATTCAGAAAAATGAATCAATCTTATGCCCTATTTTTGGTAGGTCATGCATAATACACAATTAAACTAGATATGGAGCAAAGATTAGCAAACATCTGGCGCATGAGTGTCAATGAGAAGAAGTTCATTGAAAATGCTTTACTTTCAGACCACAGAGTTGATGGACGCCGCCCATTTGACTATCGTCGACTATCTCTGAAGTTCGGGAGGCATGTATATTCTAATATTGTAATTGCAAATGCAGGATGATAGAAATTACAGCTTGCAGGAGTCATGATAACATTTTTTTTTTTATTTCATTTTATGAATGTATATTGATTTCTTTCTTGTGTAGGTTTTTCTTTTTTGGTTAAGGAAATTCTTTACTCTCACATACTAAATAAGCTTGGTGTTCTTCTGTTAACCTTTTTAGTAACAACTAAGGAAATATTTCTTGGCTATGCAGCGATGATGGTACAGCAGAGGTGCAGCTTGGGCAAACTCATGTTATGGGGTTTGTGACTGCGCAGTTAGTCCAACCTTATCGAGATCGACCCAATGAAGGCACATTTTCGATATTCACTGAGTTTTCTCCCATGGCTGATCCTTCATTTGAGCCAGGGCGCCCAGGAGAAGCTGCAGTGGAATTGGGACGCATAATAGACCGTGGCTTGAGGTAAAAGTCAGTTCTTTTTTCTATGGGTTTTGAGTTTTTTGTGTTTTTACTTGATGAGTTTAGTTATCATTCAATTTTTTCAGACTAGGTTTTTTTCTCCCTCTGTAGCTTTTGTTGAGGTGCTTATTGTCATGTTATCAATAGCTTGATTTCTATATATTCCATTAAAGTTGAATGGAAAGAATTTGAGTAGTAGGTTGGCCTGTCACTCGGATCCACCATTTTTTCAAACTGCATTTGGCCAATATGTTGTTCATTTGATAAAGGCCCTATTGATTTTGCAGAATGTAAGTTGAGAACCTTGTTAGCATGTGACCTGAAATGCCCTTAGAGCTATATCAAGTTTAGCCAAAAGAAAAAAGAATTTGAAGTGAACTTGAACAACCAAGATGATGGGGGTGGCCATTGACACCCAACACACTACCCAGCTTGCACAATCTTGCCCAAAAAAAACCTATGGGGACACATTTTCGATAAGTTCAATCGCAAATTTGCTCGATGGAAGGGCTGTTATCTCTCTTTAGCTGTGAGAGTAACACTCATTAAGGCAACTCTATCGAATGTTCCCATATATCAAATGTCCCTCTTCTACATCCCGGCCTTGATAGCTGCCTGCCTAGAACAGTTAATGAGGAATTTTCTTTGGTCGGGGGATGGCACAACGAACAGATCATCTAGTTGCTCGGGACAAGGTGTGCAGGATGAAAGGGTCAGGTGGTTTGGGCATCCGGAGCATAAGAGACTCTAATACTGCACTTCTATCCAAATGGTGGTGGTGCCTTTTCACACTAGAGGGTCACCTCTGGCAGGATGTTCTATATAGTAAATAATGCATCGACCCCTCTAGATGGCTGCCCCCATGCCATGCTAATAGCCTCTCCTCTGGTTTCTGGCGTTCCATTCTTCGCTGCTATGACCTCTTCACAGCTTATGCAAGATTCCTCCCTAGAACTGGCTGGCAGTCAAACACTTTATTGGTCTGATATTTGGATTGGCCACACTACCTTGAGGGACTCTTTTCCCGACCTCTTCCTTCTTGCCACTAATAGAGTAGCTTCAGTCCTCGACTACTTTCCCCAATCCAACCACAGTTGCTCTTGGACTCCCTTTTTCAGATGCACCATGCAAATGGGAGTCCTTCCTCCAACTTGAAGCCCTAATGCATTCCATCTATCTTCATCTCATAGGCGCAGACATACTCATTTGGACACCCAATTCCTTGGGCAGATTCAAAGTATCCTCATACTACTTGGTTTCAGTGTCATTTCGCAATCCCCTTCAGGCGGTCCCCTGATCGGCCAAAGCATGGTTGACTTTTATTCCACCAAAGATGCAAGTTTTCAACCGGCTGACCGTTTATCAATGGGTGCTTACTGTGGATCAACTAGAAAAGCATGGAATACCCCTACCCAATCGATGCCCCATGTGCCTAAGCGCCGAGGAGACGAATGCACATCTCTACCTCCATTGAACTGTCGCTGAATACCTTTGGGGGAAAATCCAACTCTTTGGCTGGGTTTGGGTCACCCCCTAGTCTGTCCCAGGCCTTTTCAACCTTTCTCAATTCCTCCTGTAGCCTAAACTAGGGGTGATGCTATGGAGGGTTACAGTCTTTGCCACATTGTTGTCTATCTGGTTTGAGCGAGACCATAGAATATTTAGAGGCGAAAGTACTTCAGCAGTGAGTCTTAAGGCTAAAATTATAACCATGGTCATCTTTTGGATCAAGAACCACAAGCGGTTCAAAGCTTATTCCACTTCGGACTTTTGGTCAAATTGGCAATTGCTATGCCAATCCACCACCCTGAGGGTTGCTCGGGCCTCGCTTTGGAGACCTCTAGAACCGGGCTGGATTAAATTAAACTTTGACGGCTGCTTCCTTGGAAACCCAGGACCAGCCGGGGTTGGAGGGCTGTTCGGAGACCATTTCGGCTTCATCATCTGCTCTATTCTCCAAACACATAGGATTTATTGATACTACTGCAGCTGAGGCCAATGCTTTACTCGAATGCCTAAGGGCATATAGATCTGAGTTGGGCAACTAAATTGCCATTGAAGGAGACACTAAAACTATTATCTCATGGGCTTCGGGCTCTGCCGCTCACCCTTGGAGGCTGGCCCGCACTTTCGATGAGATCTTCGACATCTTCAGCCAGATTCGCATTTCCTGGACCCACATTTACCGAGAAGCTGATTCCCTGGCCAACACCCTTGCAAAAGAGGGAGCAGCAGCACCTTCTGGAGTGGGTCCCACTGATTTTTTGTACAGAGTCATAATCTTGATCTTTATCACAACGAGAATGTATGGAAATTTTGTATCTAACTCACCATTTTGGTGACATACGATTAAGGGTTCATTTTTTGTATGCTCATTCCTAGCTCTTAATACCAGTAAATATTTCTCCAAAAAAAAAACAAAGAATTATATCTAGTTTTTATGTGTGGAAACAGGGAAAGTAGAGCAGTTGATATGGAATCACTCTGTGTTCTAGCTGGGAAATTGGTTTGGGCAATTCGTGTTGACCTTCATATTCTGGATAATGGAGGGTATGTTTTGAAGTCCAATATCTTCATAGCACTGTTTGCTTTTTTGATGGTCTTGATTTCTGATCAATCTGATGCTAATTTATGCTTCAGGAATCTTGTTGATGCAGCTAACATTGCTGCCGTAGCTGCACTGTTGACATTTCGAAGGCCTGAATGTAGTTTAGGTGGAGAAGATACTCAGAGCGTGATAATACACCAACCTGAGGTTTTCTCTTGGCTGCAATTGTTTTTGTAGCGAGTTTTTAGGGAAAACCCATTTACCTTGTCATGTATATAGGCTAACAGTTTCTTGTAGTTTATACGTAGGTTCTTAATTGCAATCTTCTGAAGTAACCAATGAACTCTATTTGAATTCGGTTTAAAGTAGGTTCTGCACACTTCTATTGATAAGAGAATACGTCAATCTAAAGTTTCTGGAAAAATTTGATTAATATATTTTTCATTTAAATCTTACATTGGGCAGGTGAGAGAACCTATTCCTCTAATTGTCCACCATCTTCCTATAGCAGTAACCTTTGCCTTTTTCGATGATGGGGAAATTTTGGTATGGACCATGCATCCTGGCCATTCACATACCATCTTTATAATGCTTTATAAAATTAGCTTTGTCTACTGGTAGGAGTTGCTTTTATTTATATCAAAGTACTGTGCAGGTCATAGACCCAACATACAAGGAAGAAATTATAATGGGAGGAAGGATGACAGTAACAATGAACACAAACGAGGATGTTTGTGCTATCCAAAAGCCTGGAGGACAAGGTGTTAAACAGAGCGAAATCATGCGCTGTTTGCGGCTTGCTTCTCAAAAAGCAACTGATATTACTGATAAAATAAAAAAGGCGGTGAGTTTGTAGTGCGACCTCGTGCTTTTGATTGGGTGTGGCTTTTCTTGTTTCTCCATTTCTACCCTTTAGTGTTTATTCTGGAGAACACAGTGAGATCTAATTTATTGAGAATTTGAGATCTTATTCTCCATATGAAAGATCACGGTGAGCAAAAATTGGGCCTGGATGTGTTTTCACCATTAGCCGATATGATGAACACATAAAATTAGTTGGTTTCTTTTCGAGCATTCGCAGGTAGAAGCATATGATTTGGAAAGAGCTCAAAGAAAAATCAGGCGTCACTCATCTTCAAGTGCCCAAGCTGCCTGTGGAGCAGACATCAAAATGAGCAAGCAGGTTGTTGATGTCACTCAGAAAAAGATAGATGGATTCAAAATACAGAGCAAGGATCCCATGAATCAGGAAGAAGTTGAGAGTGACACTGATCTTGAAAATAGCAACACTAGAGGTGAAAATAATTCATTTCAACAAGTTGATGAGATCCATGGAAAAATGAAGAGTGTTAATCTTTTTACTGGTCGTCCTTCAAGTTGGTATGCTCATGTATCATGTTGGCACTATTTAGCATTTTAATAGAAGTTATCCATGTTTCCTGTATGTTAATGTCAAGGCATGTTTGTCATCCTTCAAACTTGGTTTGCACTCATGTGTAGGCATCCTTATGGGAAAGGGATTACCTCGTTAAGCACATGTACAAGTTCTGTAGCATTGTCCGGTACTTCCTTGCTCTCTGACTTTACAGAAAAGCATGTGACTTTCTTGCTCTCTTATATGTTGTGTTTTATTACTTCTGTGAACCATGGGCAGCCACTTGTTGTTGATTAGAGATTTTCTTGTCATTATTCTTTGAGGAACCCTGATTAATATAGACATGGAGAAAATTGAATGTGAATACCATTTTTGGGATCCAAACTTGATATGCTGCTTCTTTTGATTTATAAGATAGAAATTTATGTATTTTGGATGAAGCCGAGTCGTGGTGTGTGATACATGTATTGTGATTCAAATGAATTGAGAAATTGAGTTTACGGAGAGCATCCACTGTTACAAACAAAGATCAGAGTAGCTTAGGAACTTACATATGGAATGAGTTAATGTTGAAACTGAGAGTTTGCATGGCACACTCTTGACTTAGCAATGCTGGAAATCCAAACTTTTCCATAGAGACAGGACGCTGAGGTTCATAACTCCCCTATTGGTGTAGGATCCACGTGTAAAAAAATAAACTTGGAAACATGAATTGTTTATGAGAAATATTACTTGAGGGATAATATTCATTAACGATAAGAAGGAATTTTGTTTCTTGTTATCAAAACTCTTTCTAAAACCAAGCTTCAAAAATCTATCACTTTAATCAGATATACTGGCTAATATATTGGCTGCATATCATTCCCATCACAAGATGGTGACAGTTATGGGACTAGTCCATGCTGTGTCTTTTATTGTAGTCCCTCATGTTTTAGTTAATGAGAATGAATTTTATATTCTGTCATTTCACCAGTTTCTTTGAATTTTCCCAGGAATTTGACCCATTTTTACGTGGTTACCACTTCCACTGTACACAGATTTATGAGAGAACTTATTCTTCTTATGGTTGGTAAGGCATCATTCACCTGTCTTGTTCCTCAATAAAATGGCCCTGTTAGATTGACTCAATTTCTTGTCATCCTATTCAAGCTTCTCACAAGAACCACTACTGTCCTTCTGGTTGATAGATTTAGAACATCCTCCCCAACATCACATCTCAAGAACAAGGTGCCTTAGTTATCACAAATGATGGGCCTTAAGGCCTAGCTCATGAAACCCGAGATGCATTGACAGATGATGTAACAATAAATATTAATATGCAACTAGACGTGTCTAAGGCAGTTGATTGCTGTGAGTGGGTATTCTTTTTTCATGTCATGGAGAAATATGGTGATGAGATATTGACATGTCTCTCTCATTGCTCTCTGTCCTCACTAAAGATTTTTACACACTTATTATTGCTATCCTACTCATGACAGACACAAGGGCCCACCATCCCCTAGATTTTTATCATAGCTGTAGAGGTACTTTTGCAAAGGAATTTATAATCTGGCACATGAGGTTGTGGTTAAAGCCCCAGCCTGGGGCTGGTTCCGATGTTCACAGCTGACAGTAAGCAGTAAGTCAAATACTTATTGTCATATGCATTGACAAAAGAAGACATTTTATATGATCTATAGACCTTTATGAACATACATGACATCCTTGGCTCAATGCATCATAAATCTGATTATTTTGTTGCAAGATGTGGACAAAAATGGACAAGGGAGTCATTAGCCAGTGCCGGCTGACTCTGATATTTGCTTTTTCTTGGGGTATTCTGGGGTTGAACGTTTGATATCCTCATTTACGAAACAACATTAATAAATAGAAGAGTAGAACTTTCCTTTCAACAAGGAAGTTGCACTCTCCCTTCCATTTGGGATGGTAATCCTTTGTAATCCTTAGGATTGCCCATTCCAATGAGGGTGATGCAATCTGCAGAAACTTCTTTTGGCTGATTAGTGATGAGGTCTCTGCAGATTATGTGGAATGGTATATGGCACTTCAAATATCAAGCAATGGATATCTGAAAACTAGAGAATACTAACCTAGCTTGCCTATGCATCCGAAGAGGGATTTTAGATTTGGAGAACGACTTTGCGGCCATTGCACAAATTATATCAATGAACTTCCACATTTGTATGCCTGATAATGATGATGATTTGTATGCCTCTGTTTCGATCGAACTGGGCTAACCTTTCCAGCAGTATGAAATAAAAGAGTTAATATAATGATATGTATTTTCTTGCCCTGCAAAGTTGTATTCAAACTGGATCAGATATCATAACCGAACTTACTAGTGCATTTTTGGAAGCCTTTTACTTGTTTTGTAGAGCATTTCAAGTCATGATTAGCAATGTGGAATTTAGCGAAAGAGAAATTTTCAATGTGGATTTACTATACCACTTTACATTGCCCTAAGATATCAAGGATGGCAAGGCATAGGTTGGATTGGTAGACCTAACCAAGTAAATTATAGTTTTCTAGGAGCTTATGGAGGGTAAGGCATAGGCTGAATCTTCTTCAATGAAATGAGCATATCATTATACAAGGGAAATTTGCTTTCAAGCCATTAATTATTTAAGAAGAAAATGAAATTGCTCAGTGTTTTAAAATGCGGCCGCATCATGCGGGATGTGCTCGCATCCACATCGCAAACTGGCACATATGCGCTTTGGATAGATGCGACCGCATATGCGCTGCTTCAGGCTGCATCATGGCCGCATGTCCCGCATCTGTTTACGCAGAAAAATTTATCGATTTTGCTCCTCGGGGAGAGGCAAAATGGTCTTTTTGAACTTCCAAAGATTAGGGAAACTGTTTGGGGGGTTATTATCCCCCCTAAATGAAGATTTTCAGCCACTTTTGTGGCTTTTTTTGCATCAAATCGAGGGAAATTTTTTTTTTTCGAAATTTGGCGAAAATTTTATTTTCATTCAAATCTTTGATTTGGCGGTTGTTTGATACTTGGATGTTCATTTGATGCTTTTGATTGTTGATTTGGGGATGTTAAGGTGAATTTGTGACAAATAATTGGGGGTTTCAGAGGCTGTGAAGAAATCATGCACTACACAGAGTCGGTAACTTTTTATTCCTTCTTGTACAATAATACGGTTATACTTATTTTTGGGGGCAATGTCTTCTTCCCAATCTTTTACTAACAAGGATCCGGCTTGAAAATATGCTAAACTAAAAAATCCGAAAGATAGAAATTGTGTGATATGCTTGCTCTGTGGAAATACTTATATGGGTGGTATTTTTCGACAAAAAGAGCATTTAGCTGGAATTTCTGGGAATGTAAGAGCATGCCCACAAGCTACAGATGATATAAAAAAAGAGATTAGAGAATATTTGCTTAGATTGAAAAAAGATAAAGAGAAAAAAAAAAGAAGAAAGAAAGGAATTACTTGATCATATGCAATTATTTGATGATGTTGATGATGATGATGATGAT